CATTCAGCTTACAATAAAAGTGTTCAGAGATCCAAACTGGCAGAAAACTGTTCACCTTTTCAAACTGTAAAGTTTTCTGCTGCTTTAACTGCCCAAACTGGCGCATGACCCCCATTACAACCAGCACTAGGACCAGAGAGCCACTCTCCTCATTTCAGTGAGCAGGTTTACAGTACTTCTCTACAGCTGCTTCAGGAGAAACGTGGCCACAGCAAATTGTGGCATACAGTCACATGAACAAGGGAACAGAAATTTCTTGCAGCCAGTTTTACCACACAAAAAACCCATAGCCTGCAACTATAGTGTCAGTGCTATTTGCTTTTCCTACTCCACCCAAGTTAGTACTCCAGGAGAAATTAAACAGGTTGTATTAGTGGGTTTGGGGTTTTCTTTTTTTTTTTCCCCCCGAAAGACAGCTCTCTTGTAATAGTAACTAAACCATTTATACAAACAGTACTGAGAAAAAAACAAGACAACAAAAAACCTGGACAGTGGAAGTAAGCGTAGACAAACCAAGCTCTCTTAACTACACTAGTGATTTGCAAGTTGCATCAGCAGTAAAAGACGTCAGTCTGCTGCTGGAGCAAGAGGGAAGAGGCACGCCAGCACTGATGAACTATGCAGTAAGGGAAAATAAAGGAAAGCAATAAACCAGCAGGGTTACTTTGAGGACTACTCTTGCTTGTTGGCATATATACCAGATGTAGGGTTATCAACTGGAAGGGAAGAGGAAGACTGGTCAGCAATTGTGATAGCTGCACAAACAAAAAATAAGTACAGCAGTCTTGGAAACTGGTCTCTTGATTTATGAATAAGATAGGTCCAAAATAGAAAGCAAAAGCTAGCCCTTAAATAACAATTCAACTCAGTTTTGGCATACCTTTTCTCTTATATGATACAGGCAGATCAACCAATATAAGAGAGGGAAAAGAAACTAAACCCATGAGAATTTACTCTTAATTGCTAGCCATGGTCACTTTGAGACTGCAACCAGAAGCGGTGCCAGTTTTTCTGTCCTCCCATAAGCTGAGCTGGCTAAAAGCAATCTTGCAACCAAAACGTGTGCATTTTAAGCACCTTCTAGGTAATATGCCTAACACCAACCACCACATATAACCTTTCTGAAAAAAAAAAACCTACTAAATAACCCAAAGACCACCAAACAGCAGACATCCCCACACCAGCAGCTAGTTCAGGTTGGATTACCAGACTCCATTTAATTCATTAAAGATAAAACAAAATCCCCTTTACTTTACTACAGTAAGGCCTTCTTTCAGAAATTGGCTACATGGTCACCCTGCACACTTGCCATTTCTACTTCTGTGAATGCTACCATTTTGGAAGAGACAATTATTTTTTTTAAATTTCCTTTTTTGTTCCCCCCAGAAGGAGATGTTCTTAAAAGGCCTCCTTAAAAAGAGGCAAAGCTTTTGGTTTGTTTAGTTTGTTTTTTTTTTTAAACAGTAATCTATTCCATTGTCATTAAACTAGGGGAAAAAAAATTGTCTCTTAAGTGCTTAGGTCCAGCAAGATAATGACAAGGCGGGTTTCCCATGCTCTTAAGCCCAGAGAAGCCTGGAAGTTCAGTGCATGTAGCAGTGGACTCTGCCAGCCTCCTGGCAGACTAAGCTTACTCATGGGCAGGGGACAAACCAAATCTGCTCAGTTCACAGTGCCAAACTGCCGCTCGCTCTGAATGGAACTTTGGCCCAGGCAAGAAGCATCCCCATCCCAGCATCAGCATGCGCAGGCCAGCGGTACCCAGGCAGTACCTGAGAGGGTAACAATCCCTTGGGGCTGGGGCTGGAACCGCAGGTACTTGTTGCAGAAGGAGGCCGACTCCAGGGCGAGGAAGAGGACATTGCCCAGGAAGTAGCCAGCCGTCTGGCCCACGGAGTTGCAGGTGGAGGCGTAGCCCACATTCTCCCTGGACAACATGGTCAGGGCCCAGCCGTCCACCGCAATGTCCTGCGTCGCCGCCAGGAACTCGAAGAGGAAGAAAGTCACAGTGAGGGCCACCACGTCGGGGCCCCGGCCCTCCCCGTCGCCCAGCAGCATGTCCACCTGGGTGGACATGTAGATCATGAAGAGCCCCAGGACGTACTGCGTGGGCACCAGCCAGGACTTGCGGCGGGCGGAGCGCCCCCAGGAGAA